CACAACACAAACTAGAGTGGACCCCCACACATAACGCAAACTACTGTAGAGTAGATCCCTACACACATATCATAAACTAGAGTAAACTCCACACATAACACAAATTAGAGTAGACCCCCACACACAACACAAACTAGAGTAGACCCCTACACAAAAAAACTAGAGTAAACCCCCACACATAACACAAACTGGAGTAAACCTCATACACAACACAAACTAGAGTAGACCCCTAGACACAAAAAACTAGAGTAGACCCCCACGCACATCACAAACTAGAATAGACCCTCACACAACACAAATTTGAGTAAACTCCACACACACAACACAAACTAGAGTAGACCCCACACACAACACAACTAGAGTAACCCCACACACAGCACAAACTAGAGTAACCCCCCACACATATCACAAACTACAGTAAACCCCCACACACAACACAAGCTAGAGTAGACCCCCACACACAACACAAACTAGAGTTACCCCACACACAACACAAACTAGAGTAACCCCCCACACACAACACAAACTACAGTAAACCCCCTTCCCCGCGACACACACACACACACACACATACACAATAGCAATATGGGTAAAAGGTTAAACGTAAAGAAGCTTGCGTGGATTGGGGAACATCAAAATATGAACAAGAAAATACGGATAACAAATATTGCCTGGACACTAGAGCAAATTAACGTAATTTCTCGACAACATGACTATTAGTACATATGGATTGTTGTTAATGTGTCTATATCACTACAGTATTATGAAAACATTGTATGACAATTAAGATGGATGGTTGCAAGGCTTCTTGACACACAGTGGCACCAATTGAAACACTCGTTTTGTCTATTAAAACATTTATGTCGAGTGGCGGATTTTGTTTTCATTCTTGCTATATGGGAACACGATAGTCAACATCCCACCACATTATTGTGTCTACAAACAACACATAGCCTTATTTGTTGAGATGCTACTCTTGTCACGACCATCCAACCCGATAACACGCCACTCCACTCCAGTTACAGGATATAGGATATGAAATCTATTTTTTACAAACGAGTTCATCTTCCCTCTCAAGCAGCTTGAGAGGGAAGCTTGAGTCAAACTTGCCTAAAAGGAACACTCTAAAGCAGGGGTGGCCAACCTTTTGTGTGATGTGATCTACTTTTTCCACAGTTACCCTGATGCGATCTACTAGTCTAATATTTACCCATTGCCATAAAAATACACGCAGATTCGTAGAGAGAGAGAGTAAACAAATAAAATTTTTCAATAATTGTTAGGATATATTGTTAACATGACAAAATCATAAACTTACTTTACTAATGAGATGGTTAGCACTGCATGTTGTCTGCCAGCTTTGTGTAATTAGGACTGTAGGCGGTGACTGCTAGCCTCAAGCAAGCATCCAGGTGTTCATCTGGCATTGTTGATAGGTATTTGGATTTGATGTGTTTCATGTGTGAAAATGTTGATTCACAAAGGTTGGTTGATCCAAAAAATGCTGTGAGGTACATGGCACATTTTCTGACATTGGGATATTTTTCTTCACTGAGAAGGTTCCAGAAACTTCCTCCTGTTGTCCTGGATTTGATTTGAATATCATGTTTAAGCTTCAGAAGCTCATTTTCGACTTCAGATATGTCCATTTTAAATACTGATTTCATTCTAGATGAAATATCTTCAACATTTGTGATTTTACCAAATGGAAAACACATATATGTTGCAACAGGTTCTATTGTTGTTATATCTTGGAGCTGTCTGTCAAAATATGAGGCAAGGTTTTGCACCTGATCAATATATCGAGCACTGCCAAACTGGTCACAGTCTTTTCCTTGGTTCTCTAGTTCAGACATCATATTTCTGAAGTTTCGTAGTTGATGTTGATGCAGCTGCGAAGACACTAGTTTTAGTTTCTGCTTGAAAGCAGCCACAGGTCTAATCATGTCAACTATAGTTTTATCATTCCCTGGCAGATCTAAGTTTAGTTTATTCAGCATAGCAGTCATGTCATCTAAAAAAGCTAAATCTAACAGCCACACTTCGTTGTGATCAAAAGGCCAATCTTTTAAGGCGAAAAAAGAAGTTAGGAAACCTATCATCACTCCTGCACAGGGCAATGAACCCACTGATTCGGCCAACCAATGCAGGTGCCCCATCAGTATTTTTAGATACGAGCAACTGGCAACTGTGTACTATTAACAAAATCACTGAAAGTCTGAAATAAATCTTCATCCCGAGTTTTCCTTTTAATGGTAGAATTTTCAGCAGTTCCTCTTTGGTACTCATGTCTTTAAACACCAGTCTAATGAAAATACATAATTGTGATGTATCGACCACATCAGTAGACTCATCAAATTGTAATGAAAAGAACACACACTCACGTATGTCTTTATTCAGTTGTTCACCCAAATCCTCAGCAATGAATTCACAGCGCCTCATAACAGTGTTTCTTGATAATTGAACATCCTTAATAGAAAACAGTATTTCAGACTTATCTTTGAAAATTTCAAACAACGAATCTGCTGTTTCTAAAAAGGCCTATTTGAATATTTCTCTGTCTTGAAATGTTTTTTTTTATGCTTTGTAAGTACTGGACTCACCCTGAATGATGCAATGGTTGCTACCCTTGATTTTGAGCTCGCGTCTGTAAAAAGAGTTTGTTGTGCAGTAAGCTGTGATTTCAGTTCATGAACTTTCCTCTTTCGTAGCTCACTTTTAGGTGGAAAATCATTATTATACTTCTTGTGAAAACTTTTGAAATGTCTTTCAGGATTTTCTTTCTTGGCTACAGCTGGAGACCCATGGCAGATCAAGCACAGACACTTCAAATTATTCATGATAAAAAAATAGTCTTCTTCCCATTCACTGTGAAAATGGTAAATTTGGGTATTTTTAGTATTGGGTCCAAAACTCATTTTTGGTTCAGTTGATGGCCAATAACCTATATTTGGAAAAGGTAAAGTCGTACGTCAATACGAGAATTACTTTTTTCCATGACTTTTCCTAAATGAAAATGAGAATTACTAACGTAACGTAACGTAACACTTCTGTCTACTCTAGGGTTGCGGCGAGAACTGTCGCTAAGCTAATAAGTCAGTAATTCTTGTAATCACCCAAGACTTTTCCATAACAAGAGACAGCACCTCACACTTCCAAGTATTGCAGATGACTGAAAATCACTGCATTGTTGGTGACAAGTGTGGAGGCTCGCTGGGCAAGGTTGCCAAATATGATTCTCTCTCTCTCTTTACTTTTGACAAGACTCCTCAATATAGAGTCGATTTTTTCATTACCAAATTCATTAATACAAGGTTTAACGTGTATTTGTAAACTTATAAAAGCAAATACCTGCCTAGTTTTAGCCTATAACTGATGACAACTTGCTGATCAGTTTCTTCACCAGGAACCAGCCAGCACCGGACCGTATGAACGTGAACACTTCCTATCAGGTTTCGCCACACACAGCATGGCACAGTCGAAGTTTTTTGTATGTATCGCTCTGATGTGTCCATAATGATAATCTAATCCCAGAAAAAAATCTAAACAAAAATAATATCCCAATGATTATGAGTAAAATTTGAAGGGGATTTTTGTATGGCAGCTTAAGAAGGATGGATCATTAAGTTTAACTTTGCCATGCGATCGACTAGAGAAGATCTCGCGATCGACAGGTTGGCCACCCCTGCTCTAAAGCATAAGAGAGTAATGTACATTAGCCTACCAGATCGTTGTTGGGTAATCGAGTTATCTACTCAGAACGCCTTCGGACTATTAGACCGTATTACAGGTACTGTACATAATTCCTGACATGTTTCAGCCCAAAGAATGAATGTTTCATTTTGATGAAGATGTAGTGTCCGGGAGTACATAATTTCTAAAGAAAAAATATGAATCGACCAAACCTAACTGTAATCGCTCATAGGAGCGATTTTGGTTTGTGCAGGACAATAAGACCCTTGTTGTTGACGCGATGAGTATAATTCGGTCAAAACCTGTTAAAAAAACAATTCACATATAACAACTGCTGGTATATCAGGACACACAGTTTGAATAGTACGATCAATATACAGTACATAGCCTATTAACCTCTTAAATATAACTCACATGTTACAACTGCTGATACATCAGGACACAGTTTGTATAATATGATCAATATACAGTGCATAAATACACTTATTAAAGTCATTTAGAGTTCTTAGAGGATTTAATAGTTCACAATTACACTCACGTTTTGGGGGTCTTGGGTTAGACCAACGAGGACAAATATAACATCCTCCAGGAAGATGTTGGCTGAACGAAAAATCAAGATGCTGTCTCTACGGTAGAAGGCGAGACTCTGCTACCAGCTCCATCTCTCTCAATTATGTGGCAGGCACGTGGCGATAACACTAACTTTATATATTTTAGCCGAACCAAAATAATAACCTAAAATCGATAGGTAATAGGCAGCTATCAAACAGGGAGGTACTAACGCCTGGGAAGATCATTTATTGTCTAATGGTAGACCCTGCTGCCATATGACACCACAAAAGTAGCGACCAAGTCCCAGGTTGCTGATCTGACCTTCTACCTCATTTACACACAATTGCAGGGTTTCAATTGTTTCTCTTACTTTGACAACACAAAATACATTTATCGTTTCTCACTATTGATATTATTATTATTATTATTATTATTATTATTATTATTATTATTATTATTATTATTATTATTATTATTATTATTATTATTATTATCACCCCAGGCCCTGATGTGGGTCATTGATGTGGGTCACTACCCTTTGTGTTATGTTAAGCTATGTTAGCTTTAAAAAAATACTTTTTTCCAAAATACGGATAAATTTTGGTTTTATGGCTATAAATTAATGAAAACTTATTCGTATACAGTAAAATATACTCTGGTTCATTTTAAACATCGTTTACTATTAAGTAAGGTTTCCCATGAAACTTGGTACTGAATAAGTTATGTAACAGAACATAAACATATAATGGCCTTACTGTTGATGTTTTCTTCCTTAATCCCCAAGTGAATGACAACCAGAGCTGTGAGTGCTGCCCTTCGTGTTATCACCGTGGTAATGAGCTTGTGGTCTGGTGCATAAATCTGCCCAGGGCTGATAAATTCAGAACCTTCTTCGCGATTGGTGTATTCGATGAGGTTCAGTTGCCAAAGACCATCTGTGTGCGTATTTCGTAACGTCTATATATTACTGATTACTGATAATAAATGGAGCTGCCTTTTCACTGATAAAACGATTGACTGCCTAACGACAAGTGTTTCATAAGTCATATTTAGGCACTAGACAGTTACAGTACGTTGATTATAATGGGATAATGATACATTTAGACAGGTGAATTTTCTGGTAGCAAAAGAAACTTATTACTGGCGCGGTAGTAGCGATCACTGTTCACACGTTGATAGAACGTATTAGGGTGAAGGGAGGGATCCCAATCACATGTGGTGTCCTGCATAGAAGTAGAGTTGTCTATGACTTGGTTGTCAAGGGCAGTTGGTGTCAATGGCCGTCTTGACAGATATTGAAAGTCAATATCAGCCCCATTCGTTGACAACTGGGACAACTTTTACAGCAGAACGGACCTTTGTGCTAGGGATGGGGTGCCAACCCTGGCTGGCTCTCTCGAGAGTGCAGTTCAAAAGATGTCGAAGTCTTTAGACTGCTAGGGGAACATACGAGCATGGGAATCGAGGAGACTGCATTGGGAGTGGGTAAACAAAGTGTAAGGTTACAGAAAAATAATGCTAGGAGTGATGAAAAAACTAAATTAGGCAGGGAGTTAAAACCTAAACGCAACAAAGGGAGGACTCAGATCATGACTAACTTAGATATCAACTACGCAAACAGTAGAAGTATGAAATGCAAAATGGATGAAATCTGGGCGTTGGTATGTACCGAAAAAAATCGTTAAAATAGCATTCACCGAAACATGGATAAACTTATACTCACGTGAGCTACCTATCGAATACCAAATTTCAGATTACAAATTATTCCATACCGATAGGCAGATTAGGGAAGGAGGCGGAGTAGCAATCTATGTCAGGGATAATCTGAAGTGTGAAATAAATAAGGAAATAAAACCTAAACTGAATACATAAACAATTTGGATAGAATTATCTGATGGTAGGGAAAAATTAATCATAGGAGTAATATGTAGACCTCCTAATCTTGATAAAGTTAACGAGAGACTTATTTGGGATGAAATATGCAGGGCATTCAGAAATAGAAAATTCTGAATAGTAGGCGACTTCAACTTTAGTCAAATAGATTGGATCGACCTTACAGGTAACACCAGAATCAGAGGACTTTCTTGAAGCAGTTCAGGACTGTTTCCTAAGTCAACATATAGCCTAACCCACCCGGGATAATAATATACTCGATTTAGTTTTTTCAAACACAGAAAACCTTATTAGTAATGTCGAGGTAGGGACGAACTAGCTAACAGCAATCACAAGGAAGTAAGATTCAAATTAGAATTTAATGTCAGTCACAAGGGAAATTCCATTAAAGTCCCAAATTTCAGAAAGGCAAACTTTGATAGTTTGAAAAGGCAGCTGAGAGAAGGGGTATCACGTTTGGGGGTCAATTAATTGACTTTGCACAATGTAATCACTGAGGGTGACTTCACTTTACCTGGAGACCTGACAACGATAACCTCACAAAATATGATGGTTGAAGATGGCCTGATCACGAAATCTGAAAATGACGAGTTCCACAACAATTTAAATAATGAATTAGTTAATGCACAAAGGCAGAACATACCATAAGAGAAACTCAGATCAAATAACAATTACCCCAAATAGCTAGATAATTATTTACAAAATAGTATTGGACAGAAAGGTTATAGGTAGAAGAATAAATCGTGGTGAGTTTACCTCCGAGATTATTATACAGTATTGGCCAGTAGTGTTAAGACCGAGATAAGGCAAGGCAAAGAGGAATAATGAACTGAAGGCAGCAAGGGAGGCGAAGTCAAACCCCAAGGGATTCTTTTAAATGTATCAAACTAAAACACGAGAAAAGATTGGACCAACACAGTCAGATACCGGCGAGCTGACTGATAACGATGGATAGTGATCAGTAATCTGAATAGATAATTTTCAAAATTTTTCACCACCGAAAATTTAAACATGATACCCGAGGCACCGACTATATACAGAGATGGTGAAGAAAATAGATTAAGTGAGATAGTAGTGACTAGTAACGATGTTAGTAAGCACATAGGCAAGCTAAGACCTGATAAGTCACCAGGTCAAGATGAGATATTTGCCAGAGTATTAAAGGGATGTAAGGCAGAGCCTATTATGCCCATAGCAAATCTGTTTAACATGTCATTAAGAACGGGTGTAGTACCAGAATCCTGGAGGATAGCGAATGCAATAACGATTTTCAAGAAGGGAGATAGATCACAATCCTCTAACTACCGTCCAATCAGTTTAACATCAATTGTAGGCAAATTATTGGAAGCAATAATTTCAAACTATTCGAAAACATCTGGAGAAGCACAAGCTGATTAATGATTCCCAACATGGCTTCACAAGCGAGAGTTCATGTCTGATTAATCTATTAACATTCTTTTCAGGTACCATTATGATGTCGTATTTCTCGACCTAAGAGAGGCCTTCGACAGAGTCCCCCACGAAAGACTAATACGAAAAGTGGAGGCTCATGGCATTGGAGGAGATATTCTAAAATGGATGAGGGAGTGGTTACAGGACAGGAAACAGCGAGTAAGCATTAACAACACTAAATCCAATTGGGGGTTGTAGGGGCTCACTGCGCCATGTAGGTGTTCGGGTATTCAGTTCTAACTACAGGAGCGAACACAAACACCTGTAGAGTTTTGTAGGTTCTATTTAACGGAAGTATACATGAGTGCGCTTACAAGCGCGGGTAGTCCCTACACTCCTATATGGGTCAACTGACCTCTCCCTGACCTCTCAGGCGACATGTGGGAAGTGGTACATTAGTAGCTTCCAGATGTCGCCAGGCACATTACCTAAGCGTGTGGTGACATGAAACCGGGGCATTGCTACACGCTACTGACTAGAGAGGTAATGTATATAAATGGGGTACAAACATAGTATACATACAACATACATACATAATAGACATACAACATACATAATATACATACACCTCACCCCCCTATACGCTCATAGCAAAGTTTTGAGCGGACCTTTTCTTTTGGATCCGTTCTGAGCGTCGAGGGGCTCGATCACTGGGGGATACGGGACTCAGCACTGGTGGTGGGGTTAGTGGAAGGTGTTACGGGGCGGAGAAAATGGCGGTTCCTCCACCACACATGACCACTGGGTAACCGCACCTGGTAGTCCCGTGACCTACCGAAACTCATGACTATGCCCACTTTGTCCCAACGTAGGGAGGTCGGGTCCTGAACACGGACTTGGGTGCCGACACTCAACATGGGGAGAGGACGGGCGTGGTCGTTGTAGCGGGCGACAACGTCTTGAACACGTTCGGCGGCTCGGCGATCACAATCCTCTGCCTTGGCCTGCCACTCTTTGGAGAAGGACTGAGGGTGAGCAGGGACACAAGAACGGAGGGGGCGTCCATACAAGACCTGGGCAGGGGAGCGTCCGGTGTAATTGGGTGTGTTGCGGAGTTCAAGGAGACCCCGGTCGAAGGCCTCGCGGTCAATATTCCCAGAAGGGGCCACTTTGAGGATGCGGTGCTTAAGGGGTTTGACAGCAGCCTCAGCGTGGCCGTTGGACTGCGGGTAATGGGGCAGTGAGAACACATGCCGGACTCCCCATCGGTCGAGGAACGCAGCAAAGTCCCAGCTTGTGAACTGGGGCCCTCCGTCGGTTCGCAGGCGCACAGGGACGCCCACGTAATTTAAGTAGTGGCGAAACTTGCTGATGGTGGCGGCAGACGTCGTATCGTTACCGCACATGATGACAACCGGCCAACCAGAGAGACGATGGACGATAACCAGGAAGGACTTTCCTGACTCACAGAAAAAGTCGGCCGACACAGACTCAAAGAGGCGGGTGGGGTTGTCGTCACTCATGAAGGGTTCCTGCTGCTGGCTGGGTTGTAGTACTTGGCAGGGCTTACACGCATGGACAGCATTGGGATGTCGGAGTCGATGCCAGGCTGGAACACAGTCTGTCTTGCACGTCGTTTGGCGGCCTCGGCTCCACGGTGACTGTCGTGGAGGCGAGCCAAGATGTGGGGACGTGAAGCAGCAGGGACAACTACCGAAGGAGAGGTGTCACTGGCCAGAGGTAGGGGTAGTTGCGGCTCCCTTCGTGCACCCTGTTGGCGTATTTTACGTCGAGAATCGGTTTTGGGAAGTCCTGGGAGATGATGGCCAACTCTTGGCAATGTCTGTAGGACAGCAAAGGAGTCGGGAAACCATTATGCACATCAATCCAGGCTTGACACGACCTGTTGCCAAAGGTGCCATGTGCATAGAGTGAACCTAGGGCTGGGGCCATCTGGGAACCATCTGCCGTGAAGCGGAAATCTTTGGGAGGCGGTCCTAGATCACTTGGAGAGAGCCCCAAGCATTGCAAATGCTAGGGACCGATGACTGTAGCATCAGCGACGGTGTCGGGCAGCATCTCGAGACAGGATGACACACTTCCTAATATGGCTTGAGCGTTGTCCAGGGTCGTCATGCCTCTGATTTGACGACTGTGGGCGGCCCTCACTGGTGGAAGGGCGCTGCTGCTTCGCCCGACGCTGTCCGTTGGGTTTGTTGGTAGGGCAACACTTGTCGTAGTGGCCCAGATGACCACACACATCGCACTGGACGCGTTTGGCTGGGCACTGTACTGTAAGTGACCATTGCCCTTGTGGTCAGAACTGTCGCAGGTAGTCTCAGCAGCTGGACATACCTGTGTTCTGTGCTGCCTACCACTGCTGTTGCAAAGGGAGCCGTCGTGGGCGTGGTGGGCATAGGCGTTGGGGTAGACTTCTTGTACTTGGACATAGCCCGTACAGCTGTAGGAGGAGCTCGGATGGCAGAGGTGGCACACCTGGCAGCCTCATAGGAGCGACATATTGTCAACACATCCCTAAGAGAAAAGGAAGAGTCGATGGA